ATCAGTAAATACAAGAAAATGGTTTATCTTCTTAAGCACCAGGGAGCTACAACTAAAACCTACAGTGGAAAGCTACTACATGCTCCCAGTAAGATGGATAGAACAGAACTAAAACAGACCATGGTAAGGATTACCACTAACATAGAGGAAGAAAAAGATCATTTATTTTTGATGTGAATGAAAACTGGCACTGGAGGTCACAATGGAAAATAACAATTCTCAGAAGTTTCAGCATTGGGTTTCCAGGTAATGTGGCAATCCAGTGCTGAGAATTGGAGGTGCAAACCCAAGGGAATAAAGATGTGGTCACCAAAAGCCTGCATAAGCACTTTCAGAGCAGGGTCGTTCCAACCATGCTCTATTTGTTTCTAGTATGTTCCCTCAGAAACAAAAGCTAGAAAAGAGTAGCTACATAGAATGACCATCACATAGGCTTTAAAATGCATGAATTTATTTATAATAAATCTTCTGATGGAAGCTGTTCTGGGAGCTGCTTGTTCGTAACCCTAGCATTCAGGAGGACAAGGAAGAAGGACTTCTGTGACCCCTAAGACCAGCTTGGGGTTTCATAGTGATTTCGAGGGTAAACTGTACTATGTAGCAAGACTCTGTATTAATAAATACAAATCTATACAAAATGCATATTCATATGTATATATATATATGCTAAAAGAATCAAAGACCTCCTTTACTCCGCCTCTTTAATGCCGTTTTTCTCTTTCCTCAGTGACTCTTTAATTTTCTTCTTCATACAAATTACTCTGAAGGCTTACTTGGCTAAAAAAAAAATAAACATTAACCTTTCCCTGTATGTAGGAAAGAATTCAGTAACTGAGAAGCAGGGTGGTCCTGATTCAATCTGTCTCCATGCCCAGCTGAAATTCAATTATCTGGAGACTGAACCACAGTTGGAGAACTCAAAATAACCCATAGACATGCCTGTCAAGCAGAGGTGGCACATGGGCCTCTCCAAGGTTGCTCGCCTGTCTTTGTGCTGTGGCAACTGGCTTGGCCCAGAGCAAGTGAATTAAGAGAATGCTCTCTTACAGGTTATAATCCTTTTTAAAAAGTCTAATTATTTCTATACCTGCTTGTTGGTTTATGACCTCAGAAAAGTTACAGTTTTATATATGGAATAACTCTAATATTAACAAAGAAAAAATATCCACACATTGTTTTTTATTGTTTTTATTGAGATCCAAGCCAATGCAATATTTAACTCACCTCAATGAACATAACTGAGGTGAAAATCCCATGATTACAAATGACTGTCCTACCCTCCGAGGCAAATGGAACCTGTGTTTTTCCTCCTCTCTCTTTCCATCAACTGATATTGATAAGTATGTTTGCCTCACTCTGCTTTGTACAGTTTAGATTTTTTTTTAAAAAAAAATTAGTTTTATAGCTAAGATTGTCTGCTCAACTTCAGGTCCTCATATTGATCTTAACCTTCCAATTTATCAAAAATAATTTTGAATCTGGATTATTTTTCTAGAGTAAAGAAATATACTGTGTATGACGGAACTCCTACCCAAGCATAATAGGGGCTTTCCTCTATGCTACAATTTCAGAGACCCAGAGCAAGCTCAAGAGATGCTCGTGAATGCCACTCTTTAGACCCAATTCTTGACATTCCTATCTGCTCTGGGGTTCTGTGAACCGCTCACGTTCCCTGAGTGATAACATGACGAGTCTCTACCCTCTTCCGATTGATTTGCTATCATAAGTCAGGGGAATGTGAAGTATTCCTTCCATGCAATGGATACTTGGCTAGGGACTTAAAATGATTCTGAGCCTGTCATTAGAAACAAGGAACCAGTCAGGCGGTGGTGGCCACACCTTTAATCCCAGCACTTGGGAGGAAGAGGCAGGTGGATCTCTGTGAGTTCAAGGCCAGCCTGGTCTACAAGAGCTAGTTTCAGGACAAGCTCCAAAGCTACCGAGTAAATACTGTCTCAAAAACCAGAAAAAAAAGAAAGAAAGAAAGGAAGGAAGGAAGGAAGGAAGAAACAAGGAACCAACAGGCAGGAGGTGGAGGAGCCCTTGGACCAAAAGACTGGAAATGAGAAGAAGTAGGACTGAAAAAACCCCGGATGCTGTGTCTGTCCATTTCACAAGGGCATAAGCAGGTGGCTTTGCATTCTGACTCCCTTTCCTCTTGGCACTACAGTTTTACAGCTCTTGTTTTATTCTGTCAGTTACATCATGCACTTCATCCCAGAACCAAATTGATGGCACCTGTTACTAAAACAGAGCCACTTCTTCTTCCTCCTAGACTCAGGATGAATTTCTTTGCAATATTATCAAGTATTTTTATTGAATAATTCACTACCCCAGAGCTCTTATGATCCTTGGCACTGGCCACTTAAGTCCTCAGAATGAGCTGAGCAATATATTGTCTGTTGGATTACACCATGATGGGTATTTGTTATGAAATAGTGTTTCACTATGTAGCCCAGGCTGGTCTTGAACTCATGGCTCTCTTGCCTCATCATTCCAATTCTGGTATTATAGGTAAATGCTACCACATTAGGGTTACGCCATTATGCCTTGCAGCTTGCCTCTGTGGTGCTTTGCATATTTGTTAGTTTACTGTGGAGCTGTGGTGTTAAGAAATCCAGGATGAGTTTATTGCAGGCAGCTGTGTCTCATGTAGATTACGTAATTTAGGAACAGAAGGAGCTACCATTTTTCAAGAAGAAAGAAATTAAGTGTCAAAACTTGTAGGTTTTCTCCATATGCTCTAATGCTTTCCTTTTCCATCTTCTCTGAGGAAGGGAACCCGTGATGATTTAAATGCAATAAAATGCACACTGCTATCTAACCTCCCAACCGACTTGAAGAAAATGCTCCGCTCTTTCCTGGGAACATTTAGCTCTAAAAGGAGATGATCACAATCTACTGGTCTTTCAGCTCTAGTAACCTTGGGATGGCCTCTATCACCAGCAGCTCTTGCGAGTTTAAATCAGCAGCCTAAGCCTGTCTCTCTCGATGCGTCATTGAATATAAAGCCTAAAGCAGAGGAACACTGCGGTAATCACAATGACTTCAGACCACAATCCTGGAATAAATGACTTTAACAAGGTCTGCTCACATCCTGGCAACAAACACAGCCTACTAGACTATCTCAGGTTCCACAAGAAAATTCATTTAATATAGATTCCAGGGTTGGATGGTACCAGAACTTTTGAAACTTAAAAAAAAAAAAATTCTCCAGTGATGTAATCAGACTACCGAAATACCAAGTGATCAATTATATGTGAAAAAGGTAGAATTTGAGCTAAATTTTAATTGAAAGAAATAATTTTGACAGAGTATGGTGAGAAATGCATTCTGAGTAGGGATGTTGAGAAGATACAAACTGCAGAGACACACACACAAAAGAAATGACCCCAAATAGGATAACTGCTTGACAGATGGGAAGAAATGTTAGGCACAAACAAAGGCTGATTCCTAGAAATCTATTCAAGAGAGTTTGAATGACTAAGGGGTTTGGGTTAGATGCCTGTAAAGTTATGTGATGTCGAGCATAGAAGATGCTCATGTCATTTAATCCGGCATTGCAGGATGCCTTCGGCGAGAGAACAGCCTACATGGAGAAGGCCCTCCCTGTCTATCAGGGATACCAAGGATAGAATCTGACTGTGGCCTGAGTGTATCCCTGAAAGTTCGTGTGCAGAATGTGTGGTCCTCACTGGGAAACATTCCAAGGTGGTGGGGCTTTTAGGAAATGATTTAGCTAAGTGAAGGCATTGTTCTCAGAAAGGGTTAATTACATCCTTATGAGACCCGACTTGGTTCCCACAGGAGTAGGTTATTATCGAAGGAGCAAAGCTGACACCTGAATCCCTCTGATCAACTGTCTCATCAGGTTCTTTCTCCTCACATATACCGCCACCATGAAACCATCCAGGCTGTCAAACAGCCAAAAGCCTTTACCAGCATGACAAACACTTCACTTTTAAACCTTCAGGTACATAACTAACCAAACAATTCATTATAAAGTGTCTAGTCTCAGGTATTTTAATATTAGCAACAGCAAATAGATCAGTAGTATCCCAGGTAGCTTGGGAGAACAAGGACTAAGACAATGGACTTGAACAAGCACAACACAGGTTTGCTTCTTTGCTTTTCCCGTAGTTCGAGTCACTGATTTATGTGTATAAAAACAGTTTGTGGGCAACATCACAGACATCGTCAAGGAGCTGAAAGCTCCATCTAAAGGTGGTTTTGATATGATAACTCAGAATTTCACCTGCCACATGGGACCGTCCCCTATCTTGTTTACCTAGCATTTTCCGGTTTCCCATCTTTGCAGGAAAAGGTGGTTCATTTTCTTGATGAGACCTTTGCTCAGGCACCACCACTCCAGAAGAGCACTGCCCTCTGCTACATACAAAAAGCAGGGATTTTCTTCTTTGTTACAGTTTTTGTGGTGCTATTTCTTTGTCACTGGTTTGGTTGTCTCTTTCTCTAAGAATCTAATACCCAAAGAAATTACGAGTCTTTCTCAGAACTCCATCTACAGCATTGACATCAAAGCTTGGCATAGAAAAAAATGACCACTGGTTAAATAAAGGCAAATTTTATAGCCTATTCCTCTGTAGCATTTTTCTCATGTAGTTATTCTAAATCTATCCTCCTTGACTATACTGTTTAAAAGAGAATAAGAAAGGAAAACATGAGGGGAAAATTCTATTTTAGAGACTGTTGTCTACATACTCTGACACAAAATAAAATACTCTGTGATTTATCAATCAAGTTAAAAATGTAACAGCAGTTACAATTCTGCCTCAAATTTAACAAAGAAATTAACATGTATAGTCTCAGCTATGCTTGTCACCAATTCTCCTAGTAGACAATGGTCACAACACTAAGTGGATCACCATGTTAGGGATTTATTGTCTCTTCCTTTCACCCCAGTTTCCTTAAATTAGAAAGTTGAATTTTGGTTGTGAACTTTACATTTCTTTGAAATGTAGTCTCTTTTGTCCTACCAGGGTGTCTTGACTGTTTCCTTGTGGTTGGACTACAGTGTCTACAGAGTAGAAAGAGAAGAGGGTGGATGTGTGAGAAGAGGCCCGGGAACAGTGTGAATCTTAGCAGGTAAGCCCTCTGTAGCAGCCCATTGGGGGGCACTATCATAGCATGAACTTTGGCCACATGATGAAATATGAGTTCAGTACTTTGTATGACCAGAACAGGGTTCTAGCTTAGTTTGTTACATAACTTTTGCTGTTCAAATTTCTCATTCCCAATATTGATGAGATTCTTTCACTCTTAGATGGTAGAAATGTTGTCTTTTCTCATTCTTCTAAAATAAAAATATAAACAGAGTGAAAAGATGTTTTAAAATGATGATAACGATAGATTGCTCTTCTGTGAGTTGCAGTTTTCAGTATTTCAAAACCCAGTGATAGATAGAGATTACTTCTATTAGCAGAAAGGATTCTTAGAGCATCCACTGAGTCAACTGAAACTAAAAAATATGGTATCAGGATTTCTTAGTGTTTCTATTGCTTTGATGAAACTCCATGTCAAAGATCAACCTGAAAAGGAGTGGGTTTATGCTTCTAGAACATCATCCACAGAAGCAAGGACAGGAGCCTAGAGGCAGAAACTGATGCAGAGGCCATGAGAGAATGCTGCTTAATGGCTCATAGTCTGCTCATCCTGCTTTCCTCTGCCATCTAGGGACTACCATCTCAGTGACGGCATTGCCTATGGTGAGCTGAATTCTCCCACATCAACCATTATTCAAGACAATGCCCCCAAAGGCTTGCCCACAGACAAGTACGGCAAGGGCATTTTCTCAACTGAGGTTTTTCTCCTCCCAAATGTCTTAGCTTGTGTCAAATTGAGAAAAAAAACCTATCCAGCACATGGGCCCTTTAAATAACTCATTAAACCTTTTATCTTATTTCTCAGCAAAACCAAAGTTCAATAATATGGAAAACTCAGTCAGTAATAGAACAGACCATAAAGAAATTTTTAAAAAATTTGAAGAAGTTACCGTAACACCTAAGAGTTTCTTCCTACAATGGGATATATTTCCATGCCACATATTTTGGGAAATACAATTCCATGCTGTCTATGTTATTTTAAATTCTACATTATTAGAGGTCAGAGACTGTTTATTTAAGGATGGAGAAGGAAAATGTGCACGGCAAGGTTTGTTTTCAGTAACCAGGGCACAGTTCAAAAGCTTGAGCTTGGATTTATTTTAACTCTGTGACAATCTGTAAAAGGTTTGTATATCTTTTTTCTCCTAGGACAAACGTGATTTTCAAGGTCGCTATTTATGTAATATACAAGGAGGATGTTTTAAGAAAGGGCAATAGGGAGAGTCACTGGGACATTCTTTAGACATAGCTAAACTGAATTCCTAGCCAGTAATTTATATTCTCTTTTTGTGGATTGCGAAACTCTCCCAAAGCTATGAATGCAACAGGAACTCTAAATGAATTTGGTTTTTATTATAAGGAGCAGCACACACTCCTCCAGGGTGTAGAGGGCGGCGTACAGCCTATGCCGTCTGTGCTGTCCCTTCTCAGGGTGATGTAAAGTCAAGATTCACAAGGGGGATGTTCTAGGAAACCGAAATTTCATTGCCAGATATCCCCAATTTCTCTCAAGTTAAGAGAAAGTAAGTTCTGCTTCCGAATATTTTTGCCGCCTTCCAGAGCTCTACTGGTGGTTGCCTGTGCACAAGCCAGGACAGACCACACATAGGTCAGGGCGAGACAGGAATTTCCTTTGTTCTCTCTCAGGGGACCACTCCAAATAGTTCCAACTTTCATCCCAGGATGCTAACGCCCAGGCAATAAAGTAAGTACCAAGTTCTGTTGTGACTCCAGGATTATACAAACCTCAGAATGGTGAATGCTAGCAACTCCTACTAGACAAAGCACTTAATAATTTTGCAATTACAAATCCATGGCATAACTCAACTTCCCTGGAAACCAGCTGGAGAAAAATCTCACTTTTAAGATTCCTGATGATGAGCTACCTAATGCTACAGAGAAGCAGCTTTGCCTCAAGTTTACAGCCTACATAGACCCTGTATTTAAAGAAAAGATAATATTTATGTATGCTTCCTAATGATTTTATGCTTCTCAGTAATCGCCTTCACTTAACAGTATGTATCAATGAATAAAAATGAGGTTATTTTCAATTAAATGGATGCTAACATAGGAATGCTCCAAAAAGCATACACAGATTGAGAAAGGCAATGCTTTCTAACAAGCAATATTTTCCAAGCCAAGATTTTTCTGTTCCATGGAAACTAAATGTAGGTATTTTGGCACTGTCTTTTTGTCCTAACTGGGTGGCTACAAACCTAGGAAGATAACATATAGCTTACATTTAAAAGATTAATAACCTCATATCTATGCTGGACATTCTCATATACCCTCTTTTTTTGTAAATGCATCTTGCTCTTCTCAACAGCCTACTGCATAGTTAAGAGGAGATGCAATTGTCCAGCAAGTATGCAAGAGCTAAATTCTCTTCATGTTGCTGTTTGAGCAGGTGCGCTTCTACCTGTGTGATGTTCTGTTTGTGAATGCTTGTCCTCTAAGGCAGCGAGCTTTCTTCATAGTTTTAAAGACAACCCAGAATAGTTATGTATAAAGAAGGAAAATGCTTCCATAGAAAATATTTGGGAAGTTGAGATGGCTCTGTAGATAAAGCCACCTTAACCAATTCTGGCATGCTGAGTTCTACCCCAGAACACACAGGGCAGGAAGGAGATCCATTTCCAGGAGTCATCCTCCCACCTGCACACGAATACAGTGGCACAAGCATGTACCTCCACCATGTATACAAACATTCACACATGCAAATAAGCATGAAAAACATCAATATTTGGTGAAGAACATTAAACATTACCGTGTGAAGGTAAATCTTTGTAAGAGCTTTAGATAACCACACTTGGCATTGTGCCTAAATTGAAAATTGCTTTCTGAATGAGACCACCAGGGAAAATCCCTTCAGCCTGAGGAGCAGTAAGGCAGGTGGTAGCAGATGGACGTGAACTCGCTTTCTGGAGACACGATAGGAATCTGAGAATTACGTTGATTGTAATATAAAAATGCTCATCCACCTCAAGGAACAGCCTGAACTATGGCTTAATTTACATTAATTGCCCAGTAAGAGAATCTTTCCATGAACCTGAGTTTATGCTTGCTGTGTTTATATTGTGTGTCCATCAAATTCTCAGGAACCATCAGTGGAGAGGCCTGAGTAGAGTAAGGAAATTCCAGCTCCTGCAGTGTGGGTGAGGGATGCCAACGAGATGTCGGAGGGAGATCACGAAGGAAATCCTGGAGCTGGCTGGCCTACAGATCTCTTGTGAGGGACTGAATGATTGCAGCGATGCAGAGACCCAAGGACTCACACCCTCGGGACTAGGGAAGGGGGAAAGTTCTGGGTAGTAGTTCTGTTGGCGACTAGAGGGAGGCAGGGATGGCAGGAAGCCGATGAAAGCAAATACTAATTGAACATAACTACCACATTCCAGTGAAGAGAATTTTGTCCCAAAATGCAGGGATTGTAGTGTAGCTGCATTTCCTTTTTCTCATTATTTTGATTTTTTTGATTGACATGTGACAATGATGGAGAAGGGTCTATATGTATACTTCATGGACAACAAGAAAGGGACTGTACTTTGTGGCTCACTAATGTAGCTGGTAAGGGATGCTAATCCATCAGCACCCAGTGGTTCCTCTCAGGGACAATCACGAGGCCCAGTCAGAAGCTTGTGCGGTTCAGCACATGACTCCTTTGGTAGCCATCTGGAATGTCACCATCATCAATGTGAGTCTCTCCAGGGCAAGAGGGAGCCAGGCTCCTTCACATATCTGTTCTCTATTCAGCAGCTGCCTGGGTCTGCTGAAGAGATAGCCTGAGGTTTCTGATTTATAAGGTGTGCTTCTATTTGGCTTTAGAGTTTGCTATGGGAGAGACTCACTCAAGAGTCTTCTGTTTTTCTTTGGCATGGAAAAAATGAAAAACATAATTATGTTCACTTAAAATATTTTTAAAAATGTTTTTGGATTTATCACTTCCATGGTAACCTCTCAGAGAAGTGCAGTTATAGAAATATACATGGTCTATTTTTGTCTGGTCATATATCACACTTTTTTTATAAGCACAAGCCATAAAAATGTTTATGCCATCAGCATGTGGTTCACAGCTACAAACCAGAGACCTCCCAGCTCCCTGCATTGCAGATACCTTCAACTTTGTGCTCCACAAAGGAAAGAGACCCACCACATGGTTTCCTAACAACACACTTGGAATGGAACTTTCCTTTAGGATCTCTTAAACCCGCTCAGCCCATAATTTTGCCAACTCTCCCCTTTAAACTCCCAGATTGCAGCTGTGGCTGATTTGAGTGGGAACATAGCTGAAGAAAGAAGTTCGTTTTGGGGTGGCCTTCTGTGGAGGTCGCCAAGCAAGCGGAGTTCAGAATGCACACACCTTTTTCACATTAAGAAAATTAGCTTGGCAGCAGCATAGGACGCATCTTGAAGATCCAGGAAGATCGAACTGGCATTTTTAATGAGCCACAGGCTCTGAATCAGAAGTTGACTCTGGCGATCTGTCAGCGCCAAAGAGCCAAATTCTAATTGCTGTACCAGCTAGAGGCAGAATTTCAAAGCTGTCTTCCAGCTGCAGACGCCCACGGAGCACTCAGGGCAGTCACCTTTGGCATCGCGTAATTGTGACCCGTGTGGTCTGGGTTGCAAGAAGGCCAGTGGGCAACAGTCTTTCAGCTCCCCGGGGTCCTGTGGAATGGCTGGATCCTAATCAGCTGAAGAGACCTTAGCAGATATTAAGCAGCAGTGTAAAGGCACTAAAATATACACTGGGCTTGTTTAAACCTTTTGCTAATTAACTGGATGTGTGGCTTTAAAATTCCCAGGCTGCCCATTCTCCAAAACAAGCAGCGACGTTGTTGTCCTGGAGGAGTGATGGGGAGATATGGAGTGCATTAACAGAAAGCATCACTCCATCTTAAGCAGAACGCTCTGTGGTTACACTCTCGGGCATGCGGTATCTCCGGGTGTTATAACTGATTCCTTTCCTTTCTTTTCTTTTTTTCCTTTCCTTCCTTCCTTCCTTCCTTCCTTCCTTCCTTCCTTCCTTCCTTCCTTCCTTCCTTCCTTCCTTCCTCCTTCCTTCCTTTCTTCCTTCCTTTCTTCCTTCCATCCATCCTTTCTTCCTTCTTTGTTTCATTCGTTCTTTATATTCTCAAACTAGCCAGAATCCTATCCCAGACTCCTGAGTGCTGGGATCAAAAACATCTCTCACTGTGTCTATTTTGGTATAACTTTTAAAAAATAACATTTTTAAGTGTATGAGTATTTTGCCTGCATATATGTGTATTGCACTATATCCCTCCAAGGTGCCTGTGGAGACCAGAAGAGGGCATCAGAGCCCTTGGAACTGGAATTACATGGGACTGTGAACTGCCCCTTTGAGTGTTGGGAATGGAATGGGGTCCCTGGCAAGAGCAACCAGTGCTCTAACCTGTTGAAGCATTGCTCCAGCTCCATTTTGTAATGCTTTCTGGATTTCACTTCCATCGCAA